TGTCTCTCGCATCGTGCTTTTAGGCTAAACCTTTATTTAAACAGAAAACTTGGACTTCATGACTACACCAGCCATGCATCATCGTACATACACGTTGTGCATAAGGTAAGCTCACAATATGAACATGCAATGAAACTGAATGCAGCAGTGAGAGGTGGATCTGGCTGGAGAAGCTGAGGACACGACGCTCTGTGATACGGCAGCAGCCTGTCAATCACACGCTGGCCTGTTTATCATCTACTTTTTGATGGTTAAGTCAATCTAACTTCTTTTTCCAGCCGAGGTAGTCGCCTCCTGCTGGCTGTTGACAGAATGCAACGTGATTTTGGCCCCTGATTTTGTGCACTTAGTTGTGACTGTAAAAGCAAGAATCCGTGTATAGAAGAAGTTAAGTCCATGTTTTATCCACAGCTGTGTGCAGACAAAAATGCTGAAATCAAGAAATAGTCGAAAGCCATGAAAGTGACACGAGATCCCAATCTGTCTGAAATCTGTGTCGTAGAGATTTCATTTAAAACCTCAGTTCTATTTACCAGCGATAACCCAAAGTGTATGTAAACAAACCCAACCCAGCACCCTTAAAAACACAAAAACACACACTCACATGCAGATTGTTAATGACTAATAGGTTGCCTGGGAATAAAGCTCATTAATTAATAACAAGAGATATACAATAGACCCACATTAACACTGTCAGCCAGCACACACACACACACACACACCTACCACCCCCTCCAATCTCCAATTATTAATTAGTGAAAGTGAAATCTATGAATTACTTGCTCCATTATGTACTTTAGCGGCTTCAATTTGCATTGTGGCCTGTTTCCCCCTGGCCAGCAGATTAAAGTGGCTATTTGAAATCAATTTCTCTAATAACAGATCTTAACGAGCTCATCAATTAAGGCTTCGTTAATGGCTTGTTACCATCCACTTGTGTGTGTGTGTGTGTGTGTGTAAATATGTGTGTGTGGCCCTGTCTGCCTGTGTTACTCCTGACGAGGACACACCCCACACATACATCACTGTGATTGGTCTGAGAGGGCCAGGCTGCTGGCTATTGATAGGAGTCGACGTGGGGGTTAGGTTTAACTTTTTGTTAACCTAGCTGGATGGAACCTGAGAGGGATATCGGACACACACAGACAAACATGCACACGCGTGTGTTTGGGGCTGGGGGTGGAGGAGTGTCCCGGCCTTCAGGAGCCTATTTGAAAGAGTCTTTATGCAAATGAGGGTGATAATGGCTTCCCAGCGTTGAGGTTGTGATTTCAATAAGTTAGGCTGCTCACTGGGGCATTTTCCATGCTAGAAAGACCATTAGTGCGCCTCACACACACGCAGGCAGTTACGAGCCTGCGACCTCCTGCCTGACCCTTCTTCTCTTTGACACTCACACAGTCACGCCCCCCTCTAAATGTAAGTGTTATATATGCATGGGTTAGCTCAACTCCTCCTGTAATAAGCACTTCACTTATTTAACCTCTGCCTGGCTGTTTCTTTTTTTAAACACTGATGAAGGAGGCGACAACACACACACACTTCAGATACATACTGGGTCAAGTCATCGCAGCGTTCTGCTCGAGATTAGATTAGATCAGCGGAGCCACCGGCCGGCCGGTCTGTTCTCTTGCGATCCATCTCCAGCTGCTGGACCTCGCTAGTCCATCCCAGCGCCCATGTGCACGGCAGCACGCATGTGTCCTTTACGCATGCACAACTCCTGCTGCAGACAAATGCCTCTTTTTCCACAAAAGCACTGCTTTAAGCCTCCAAGCAGTTTTGAATGTTTTTTATTTTTATTTTTTTATTTTGCTCCTGTCACATTTTAACTCAATGTGAGCTCATTTTTCACTGAAATATGAAGTCATTCACCTCCACGGAAACATGAAAACCAATTCTAAAAACCACACAACTCAAAATGCCTTCAGTGAAGTATAACAAAATTGTTTATGGCTTAATTTATTTATTTTCTTTAATTGAATTTCATTGATTTTTATTCACAGGTGCTACCACCACTGAAGAAAAAGTATGTACGGTATGCTTCAAATACTACACATATTTAATGATTTGTTTCCATCCTTTTCTCCTGTCAGCTGTATAAACTCATGGCTTCCCAGGAGTGTAGAATTTTTAATTATTATTTTTTTTTAACAGGATCTGGCGCAAACTTACTTGGGAATCAATTTTTAAATGAAACATGCAGTAATTCTGATTAAATATCCAAACTTTTAATGTAGAAGCTCGGTGTGTTACTTGGAGCAACTTGGCTACACTTAAATTCTGAGGTTTCTCCATTTCTGACTGATAAATGTTGTGATTTTGGCAGTTTTTAAAGATTATATACCTTCAGAGAGTTAAAATTTAACCAGTCCAATGTAAACACAGCATTACATTATTCAAAGATATTAGGAATAACCGAAGTAGAGTTCCACAGCTGTCAGTCAAAAAAACTAACGCTGGAAAGCTCCAGTGAACACAAGCATTAGCATCAACACTGTTGCATAATTCACTAATAATCTAAACTGATATAATACGTTTAACACACTGTGTACTTGTGCCAAAATAAAATTGTGATGACCGTGCTCAGCGTTGTGGTGTTACAAATGTAAATGAAGGTGATTTAAGTGCACTAAAGTACACAGTATCTCAGATAAACACAACGACCGTGCGGTTCAAATAAAACAGTGTACGTCGCAGCTCATTAATGCACATTTAGCGCTCTTATCGTGCAATGTCCTGGCAGCGACGGCGGGAGACTCCCGGCCATGTCTCCGCTCTCATCAGCTGCCTGTTTATCAGCAAACTTGCACTTTAATGATTGATACTGGGAGAACTAATTATGACACCTCAGTTCACTCATTAAGCTACACAGCTACAAATGATTAATTGATTTATCACATTTTCCCAAGGCTCCATTTATAATCTCATGCTAAAATGAGTTTGGAGAAGGAGGGGGAGGAAAGAGAGGGAGAGCGCTGAGGGAGGGAGGAAGAGAGGGTGAGGCAGAGGGAGGTGTGAGAGACAAGGGGAAGGCTGAGAGCAGGCGATGATGGAGGGGGGGAAGGTTAAAAGGTGGCGGCGGGATTTTAAGGGTGGAGTGGAGGTTAAGGAATATTAATATACTCCAACTGGTGCTATTAAACTATATTAATGCACTGCAAGCTCAGAGATAAGTGCTCCAATTATTACAGCGGTAAGAGGGCCAAATCAAAAACAAGCAGCCTGACACGGAGAACTATAAGACGAATACTTTAGGGGGGCGACCCGGTTGAACTCCAACTTTTGAAATTTAAATTTGTTCTGTTTACAGGTTGTGTGGCCCGTGAAAACCATCGAACACCAAAGAGGTGAGGATTCAGTCCAAGCAGGAAAATGGAAATCACGAGACTTATGAGGAAAACGACGACTGTGTGTGTAGACAACAGAACATCTAGACGCCTCTGCAGTCCGCTGTCTGAGCAAACTGGCGGCTTTCAGATTTTAAACATTTTTTGAAGCTGAAAAAGCAGATCTGTGAATTTTCTTGTTATTAAACTGGACTTAAACACTGAGACTGACTGATTCATACCATCTGTCCGCTGCTCACGTGGAAGAGTTTTTTTTTCTGCAGATTAGACAGAAGATTAGCTCCTCGTCTTTAAGCATGATTCCACTTTGAGTTCAAGAATTTAGGATTTCATCTTTAGGTCCTTGTCTAATCTAATGTTGGCTTCTCATTTTTATTTTTTTATTTTTTACCAGAAATCTGTTCCATAAAATGCTGAATATTGTCGTTTTTTTGTAACTTGTAATTCTCCCAGTCTTACCACCAGTAACCACCAGTCTCCAACTTTTCATTCTTTCTAAAAGTTCAGGAGCGATCTGCATTCTGATGCCACTGAAATCAAAAGAAGCAGCTCGAGTTTTCCCTGAAGCTGTACAATTAGACCACAGAGCTCCTATGTCAGGTTTTAAAGGTCTTAGAAAACCATAAGATCAGCATGAACCTCCATCGCTGTCTGATCTAACATATGGGTCTCCTGTCTGCTACAGAGGAGTCAGCAGGACCTTCATGATGATTATTATCATTAAGACCTTTAAACTAATTCTTTTACCTCAACCCTCAGCTTGTTGCTTTTCCTTGTACCTGCTAATATCATCCCTAAAGTGGGATTCGACATTTTAAATCTTTAAACAATGTGTAAACATGGCAGGTTTGCTGGTTTCTGGTCTTCTTCTTCTTTTTCTACATTTATTGACTCATTCTTTGCTGCATACTGTTGGTCAGCAGAACATCAGGAAACCAG